TTATATGGTCATTGGAACACTTGGGAATGGAATGGTTCTATTTGTTCATCCAAAGCTGAAACACTCCGAAGGACGATATTTCATCCCGTGTCTCGCCGTAGTCAACCTTGCATCTAGTCTCATCGGATCCTGTTTTTCCATTATGTTAATTATGTTTCGAGTTAATTTTTACTCTCAGAGTATGTGTCGTTTTGGATGGTATATTGTTACTTTAACACAGACCTTTGCTTCATTCACTCTAGTAATTATTGCAGCAGACCATTATCGACGGATTTGCAAACCCCACTCAAAACAGATGACCAAAAGAATAAGGATATGTGTTCTTTTGTCGGCATTTTTCTTGGCTGATATTTTAGCCATTCCACTACCGTTTCAATACAAAGTGGCAGAAATTTACAAATCGGAGTACAATTTGACAACATACTCATGTCACAGAAGTGCAAGCAGTAATCCTACCGGGGATTCCCTATACGCCAGTGTTCTTATGTTTGCAGGATGTTGCAGTACTGCCGCAATATTTGTTTTGTATTGTAAAGTTGGACATGATTTGCGCAGATTTGTCGAAAGGCGAGAACAAAATGAAATTTCAATGATCAGTTTGGACAGTAAGGCCAAAGGAGGGATTGACAACAAAGGATTTGAAGAACATTCATCTACAACCAATACAACGGCGCCATCTAGCGACGCACAGACGAAAAGGGCCGAAATAGAGACTGGAAAGAAAGTTGTGAATCATCGTAAACATGTATTGACTCACTTTGTGAAAATGTTTATCATGATTTCTTTGAATTACTTGCTAACATTAATCCCTTCAGCAGTAATTGTTCTACATCAGAGTATTTCGATCACATTTTGGAGTTCACTTAGTGATGCCGCGGAAGTTGGTCTTACCTTCTTCTCTACTTTATACATAGCTCATAATATAATTAATCCCTTCATATTCGCCTTCATGGATCATGAATTCCGAGCAAAACTTCGATATATTGTTGCTCGCGTAAAATGTAGACAATAGTTCAAAAATTGCATTTAAAACATTCTTAAATTTTGTCCAACTTTTGATTCTGAATGCACATGTAACACTTTTCTACATACAGATGTAATAATCATATTAAGGGAAATACAAACTAATGCTCGATGTTTGTTTTGTAAATGTCCTTCAAAAATATTTAGACACTAGAAAAAATTGTTTGTTTTTTAACGACCCTTTCACAATAATTATTAAGACGCGACTATCTGTACTAGGAACTCCGAGACTTTTAGCACTAGGGGATCCTTTATTTTTTTTTTTTGCCATCACCTATTGCGACAGGGGAACTCGGTTTACACGGTATCATCTGAAGGACCGATCTCCACGTCTCGCAGTTAAACCTGCTTCCCCTGCGACTTAAGAGCAAACACTCCAACCACTGTACCACGCGGGCGACCACTACATGTAGCAAAGATATTACGATGCAACCCATAAAATCATTTTATGATGTAGTCCGAAATATTTGACGTATTCCAGGCTCTTTTTTCGATTTTGATATATTAAGTGTCAGGAGAATGTCAGAACGGGCGCCATGCATTACGAAAAAGGGAAATTGCCGCCTCGAACCGAGTTGATTTTAGATACTTGCGAACCGAATTAAATTTCAAAGTCACAAGTTATCAAACGTACAATACTTTTTTCACTTACTAGTATGTTTTTTGAAGTTAATTTATAAAAGTATACAATCCGTTGACAACATTTTATCAGATTGTCAATATTTGTCTTCATTTCGTGCATTTTAAAATCTTGCAAGTCCTAGAACGAAATGTGGAGTGATCTTTTCTTTTCATCGACATTGGTAAGTACTAGAGGCATTTTTATCTTTGGTTGGAAATGGTGAAATTTCCAGTTTTCGTTATGGCTCCGGTTCTGACGTGTAAACTAAAATATTAAAATCGTTAAAAATGCCTGGAAAACGTGAGATTTTTCGGACTTTGTATGATGAGGCAAAAACAACAATAATAAACGTGCTAACAAAAGACAAGGATCTACCATGTAGATGTTTGATTATAACATTTGTGATCAAAATGTTAGATGAGGCTGAGAGAAAACATCTACAGGTAGATTCAAAAAAATTCTGATAGAGATTTATAAATATGAATATTTTAATATATCACAATTTATTTCAAGCAGTCATGAATATTCAGCATACATATTGTGACCAATGTTTTGTTAGATTTATAACGTATCCTAAGATTTCCTTCAACAGAGAAGATATTGAAGGTTAAATAAGCAATGACAAACATTATCTAATCACTTGTTCGCGAGGAATAAATAAGATGTTGCGTGGATTGTCTAATTAGTGACTGACATCCGGCGAAATGTTAAACTGGAGGACATATTTTATACAATCGGATGGTATATCTTAGACTGATTAAAAAATATCTTGCATCTTAATGAGTTACGTCACTGTCAAATTTGACAAAAGACGATCCAACCGATAGGGGGCATGGTCTATTTTACTGTCTGAATTACTCCTGCCCAAAGTCGGTAAACAAATTTTAACAGACACTTAGTAAATTGTTCAAAGACCCGTGCCATTTTTAAATGAAAGTTAATTTTTTTCTTTGATTTAATTTATGAACATGGTAACAAAAAGATCTAAGGATATCGAATCCTTTTAATATCGATGTGGGAAAGGAAGTTTTATAGTTTTTACACAACGCTATAGAATTATAATTTGAAATAAAATAAATTCTTAATTAAATTTTGGACATGGGAACATTTTTTACTAGAGATTAAACGGGAAAGGTGACGTAAACACTACCGCGTGCAGTTACTTCAATGACATTTTTCTTACATTTACGTTTGGCTGTTACGCCAAATTAACTTTAGGTGTTAAAAGTGTTAATTTGTTTGGGAATAAAGAAAAAACTTCCACATTGCAAAAATTAAATTTAAATGCTGCACATCGATGACATGCAAAATTTGAACGACTCACTGGCTGTGAATATGAAATATGCAACAAAATCTGCTTAATATGTGTATTAAGTTTCAATCAATAAACAACATCTTGTTTTGTTTAAGTAATACATGTATGTATTATCAAATATCCCAAACAAAGCTTGAAAGAGAGAGAGAGGAAACCAACATCCTCTGGAAAAATGTTAATTTTTTAAACAAGTTTTAATTTCTTCTGCGGTGAAAAAAGATATTCATCACATTGTACTTACTCCCTTAGAAAATATTTAAATCGAAGTATTTACAATATTATAAAGTCATAAATGATCTGTCATTTTTTTTCTTCCGTAAAAATTTCTGAAACGTTAGTCAGACTCAGACTATTGGTGTACAATGTGCATTTGCACTCTTTGTCAGGTCTATTATATAATTATCTAAAAAATATATTTATGATGAAAATTCATTGAATTTCAATAACAATTTTTTTTTTGACGAAATGAAAAAAAAAATCACAAATCAGCTGCTTAAATTAATCCACAATAAAAGTGCAACTAAATAACATCAAATTAAACAATATGTATATACATGTATATATACGTATCAATTAAAAAAAAATGAAAATAATAAGCATTTTTATTGAATGGAACCAAATTCGAAAATTTCATAACTTTCTATGGTTGATTTTATTTCAATTAAGTTTTAAAAATAAAGCATGAAAAAAGTAAGACAAAGGAAATGTTGGGGACTACAATATAATGAATTCCTCTATTTCATCTACATGTAAATGTATTTATTTTAATTCATAAGAATAATTATATATGTTAAACATAAGATTATTTTTGTAATAAAATTATGTAGGTTCTATACGTAATGTCACAGATGTTATAAATCTTTTAATTATTTGAAATAAACACTCTTTCTAAATAGACACACTTCAAGGATATCTGATTACGTAAACTATCGAGGTTGACATTACCTAATTGACACAGTTCTTGTAAGTGTGGGGGTAAATTGTAAGCTTGATTTGTTAATTAGCAAAGATATATTAAATAAATCGTGTTATGATTTTTATCAAATTAGGGCTCTGTTTCGCTCTGAAAGCTGATAAAATCCTTGTAAACATAAGTTTAAATATATATTTAAAGTACTTATAGAATACGATACTCTAAATAATAGCAATTCAATCCACTCGAGTTCCCACAAACTGACCAAGATTAGCCAGTTTCTAAGAGGGCAAGGAATATGCACGTGACAACAAAGAAAATGATCTATTAATGTAATTAACTTGTTATCTCTTTAAAATGTTTGTGAAAGAAAGACGTTCAGCTTTTGGAACAAGACGAGCGAATACGATATCAATGGATTACGTCAAACATATTTCTCGTCGAAGTTGAACTAGTACAGAAAAATGGTAAACTTTGGGTCTTGTAAAGATAACCGCCAATAGGGTAACCACGGAAAAGACTTTCACAGCCGCCATAAGTATTATCATGAAACTTCAACAACTTCCGTATTCTTTGGATGCGTTTTATCATGGCATCGGTCCTCTTGTAAACCGGCTTCCGGCATATGGGAGAGCTTTTGTAATCGGTGGCTCACTTCAACTACATAGATAAGATATAAGTAGTATCTATTTTGTATATCTGAATTTCCAAACCGTCACTCCGACGCAACAGTTGTCTTCTGGGGTAATACGGAGTCTGAAAATAGCTCGCCTACACGCTGGAGGAAAGACCAAAAGGAAAGAAAATCGCAGGATGTAATTTTTTTCCTAAAAACATATTTAATATCCCGGAGAATAATGTTGCTTGAGTTTATCAGATCATACGTATACGACTAAAACACTAGTTTATTTGAGTTTTACGAGCCAAAAAAACCCACCCTTTTAGTGTATCATGCACAACCGACAGCGAGATATTATCGCTGAAATTGAAACTATATAAAAATGCTTACACCTTTTTTCGAACACGTACTTCTTTGGAAGGAAACAAATAGGGTTCTGTGCATATAACAAACGATACCAAAGTCTACATTCGTAGTTGTTAAAATTAAATGCTAAATGGAGTGATACTCTTAACGAAGAAAAGAGCAAAAAGCTTATTAAAAAAAGTCCCGACCTTGTAAAATGATTCGTGGTTAAGTTACAGTTTAAACTCCTTGTCTTTTTTCAGTAGTAGCACGGGCAATTCATTCAGGAAAATTTCGAAGGTCAGAGGTTCTTACTGAAAATGCTTAGAGATCGTAATTATTCAATCCAATCCGAAAAAAATAATACTGTTGAAACGACAAGACAGTCTCACAACTGTTTGAAAGACATAAACATACTTGTGGTTTAATTAAAGACCGAAGATGTCTTGAAATCGAATATACGTAAAAGGAACTGAGATGGACAAATAAGTGTAGAGCCGACGCACTTAACAGTTGCTTGGAAGGCAAGGGTCTATCTTTATTTGTCATCGAAATGAACTTTAACCTAAATCGGATTTATCATATTTAAAATTCGTTCAAATGTGATATGATGATTTCTTCAGATGTTCTTTGACTTGGGATTTTCGGCTTATGGTCAGTATTGTTGTTTTCCGGTGAATCAGATATTAAATTAAATTGTGAAATGATCACTAATTTGGATTGATTTAAATGTGTTCACTTCCATTTATTTGTGACACAGGAGGAAGAATATGTAGGAGAAAATATTTCTTCTACAAGCAACATTACTGTATAGAGAATCTAACCACAGGAAATGCCTGACTGCCATCACAAATAAAATGACCAAAAAATTTAACTCGTCGTTGATGGAAAATAAGAGTGTAAATTAATTCTTCCATTTTAGTGGAAAGCCATAAAGGGAAAATTGGCAACTAGGTGGTATTGGGACCCACGCAGAATTAACGCTTAAGATTGACTTTCCTACATTTAAACAGTAATAAAATTCGTCCACCATTACACTAAGGGTGGGTAGAAAAATTAGTGAGAGAAATCGTACTTTCAGATTATCAGATAGGAAATCAATTTTACCTATTCAACGGTGATAAAAGATTTAAGAGGCTAAATTTAATAGCCAGTAAGAACCACTAATTTGTGAAAAGAACTGACCAAAAGCACATGTCATCACTATTGAAAAGCAATGGTCAGAATTTCACTGAAGTGTAACGGAAAGAGATATAAAAATCAGTCATAATGTTTAATGAAGAATCTCCTATCTGATTAAATTTGACTTTCCTTGTGACATTACTGTCGAATTAGTCACATGGTTGACTAGTCTCCCATAGCTCTTCTGCTCTTTTAAGACATTTATCAACTGTATCTAAAAAGAGTTCCAGTGATTGGTGGTTGAAATGATAAAATTATCCCGAAAACTATATTTTAAAGCCTAATTTGTGATAATTTGCCAGTTTTACCACGCGTGGATGGAATTCATTACAACATTTCACTGCCTTTTCACTTTTTACGGTATGTTTGCAAAATCGGTTCGGTTGATGAGGTACAAGAAACACACAACTGACATTTGACTCCAGAGCACGATTTTTGTACATTTCTGGGTATTTATTGAGAGCCTTGCCGTCTGTCACCAAAAGTATGCCTGATGTTGAGTTGTTTTCTGTCAGAAGTATTTTTGGATAGAGGATACATCCACGCTTGATTTCATATTAATAACGCAATAATCAAAATAAGATTTAAAAATATACAATGAGATAAGTTGACAACATTCTGGAGGAAAAGTTTTGTGTGTCATCTTGTTGGTTACTCGAGAGTCGCAAAGTCAAAATCAATTGACATTTTTGGTGATTTTGATAACTGGAATCTTTGTTACCCTGAAAATTTATAGGAAAGTTTGACCATTCAATTGGATACACTGAGTGATGTAACAAGTTGTACACTTTGATGTTGATCGTCTGCAACAGTTTAGAAGTAAACAAGAAGACCCGAGACCAATAAAACAAAATTAAGGAGAAAACTCTTTTAAAATTTTCAAATTGCATCACCTGTTTGCAACAGGAAATTGGGAAATGCAGCACGAGAGATGATCCAGAGCCAAAAATTCTTTTAAAAATGAAGATTCCAAAATAGGAAGAAGAAATTTAAACAAAAGAAGGAGAAATGGTAGAACAATTCATAGGAATGAAAGAAAACTGTTATTCTAAATCTAACACCACGTGACTATGATGCGGAATCTGAGCTGTTTTCTGGTCATGTTAGTTTTGCTTATTTTGTATGGAGAGGGAAAGAAGACCAAATTAAAAGGAATCCGATGGTGGTAAGTTTTTTTTTTTTTAAAAATTAAATAATTAATAATTAGAATTAAATTATGAAAGTCAAATAAGATGTCCAGTTAGAAATATTTTTTTTTTGGATATTATTTCTATGTAATACTAGAAAAATGATATGGGTTTTTTTTTCTCTTCAAAATATAGAATTGAGAACCCCGCATTACGCATTTATCAACTATCTTGAAATGTTAAATTTTGCATCAATCCTAAATGAACATGGAGATATACAATGCTGATTTATCTTTATCTCGGCCTTTCATGAAGTAAGATGTAGAACAAATTAATACTCATTTTTGAGAAATTTAGAAAAATAATCATAAACAATTTCCTTCTATGAAAAAAGGAACATAGAAAAGCACAATAATAATCAGTTTTGATATGCTTTAAAAATTTCTTTGGGAATAAAATAACTTGTAAATTATATTGTATTAAAAGCTTAATTATTTATCAAAATCGTTGCAAGCGACAAATTTTTGGTAAAACACTTCGTGAATTATCATGCAAAAGCCGATATTATTACTACGGTTAAGGAATTGTGAATAAATGATATAAGAAAAATAATTAAGTCTGCTGAATTTTAAATCCATTACGAACATTTTTACTCATTTACTATCTCCCAAAAAGCAGGTTTATCTGAGTTTGGAATGCAGAATAAAGGAATTCTAGATATTGGAGACAAAGGGAATAATTAGTCTTTAAAAGGTGTCTCGGTGTTGAAAAATCCCACTTGGCCCATCTTAAGAATGCAGGGGTCACGCCCCTACGTCCCTCGATCCCCCATGCCCACTGCTTCCCTCCTTTTATGTTTTAATACACATGCACTGAGATACCTAATCAACACACCTGTTGTCGTGTGAAAATTATGCCACTTATCGGTAAAAATGAATGATTTTTTTGCTATCTTTCATGCATTAAAACAGAAATCAAACAAAGATTTAAATATCTTATCAGTGCAAAACTACATGGTTATTGACACATGCAAAATACTACATATAGAAACCTTTTTTTAAGCCTTTCTGTCCAGATTTTTAATTGGTATTGGAAGGCCCTCAGAAATATCCATAGACTTCACAACATATCCAGAATGAAAAAAAACCCACAAATTTTAAACCACTCTTCAGAAAATTTACACGATACTTATATAATGTCTATTTCACAGAAAAACTAGCCATGGGTTAAGAGTACAATCCAGAAATTATTTTTTACATATTTTTAATGTCTGAAAAATGTTTGTTCTCGGTCGAAACCACGAAGATTCTGGGGGTGGACGGGGGATTGCGCATCATTTTATTGATAAATATCATATTATCATTCAAATAAAAAAACTTCAAAAATAAATATTGTCTTTTGATGGTGTCTAAACATTACTGAACTGCTCATTCGAAGAGAACCTGGAAGCCCTGCTTTAAGATCGCGGTTCCTGTGTACAATTAGCTTCACTCCAAAGATAAAAGGAAGAACACGGGGTCCTTTTAACATAATCTACATTTCGTAAGTCAAGATTAAAAGAAATATCTCCTTTTATATTTGTACACATCTAAAAGATTGATTTTAAATGTTACTCTAACGATTTCTAAGTAGAGAGTATAAAGGCAAGTTAGTCGTTTGATCTGACGAATTTGGTGTGAAACAACTGATCCTCGTGTTCGAAAGGATTCATGGTTTTTCATCCGATCATGAAAAATACGCTCCCAAATTTATAGAATTGAACTTTTGTATTTTCTTGATTAAAGGCTCAATTGTGGTTTTTGCACAACACATGGATCAAACGTTGGCCATTTAGAAAAAAAGGCGAAAGTTTTAAAAAGATCAAATAACTTTGATTATCTTTAATTATTATTATTTCACAAATTATCCTGTTCAATCGAAATGCTTCAAAATTTGAAAGGTTCATTCACTTGTGAAAGTTAATTCAAAAATATATTCCAGTTCATAATGCTTTTTCTTTAAGCAATTTCAAATCAAAGTTGGACAGTATTTTTTAATTGCTTATTTACATGGTTTTTTTTTTTTTAAAATAGATATTTCTTAAATGAAGACTTATTGATTTATTTCTCTGTTTTTTTTTTCAGGACACTTGCAAATATTGGAAAACCATCGAATGACTTAAGATCAAATACACAGCTTTATAACAGTCCAAGTCTTTTACCATTAACAAAAAAGCAACGAAAACTTGTGACAAAAAATCCAGGAACAATTTTAGCTTTAACTAATGGAGCCAGAATGGCAATTGACGAATGCAAGTTTCAGTTTCGAAACAGGCGTTGGAATTGTCCAACGCAAGATGTGGGGAATGGTGGACCAATCTTTGGAAAAATTTTAGAGAAAGGTTTGTACTTTCGTTCGGGAAACTACGATGTGGATATGTTTTATATTCAAATACAGAAATAGAAGCTCCAATAATGAGCATGGTATAATTGAATTCCCCCCCCCCAAACAGATCAAGTCTATCAGGTACAAGAAAGTTCTTTTCAACCAGATTATGAAGAAAGAAAATTTGTAAACCACACACATAACTCTTTAAAAAAAGACATGCAGAATTTTTTCCGGTGTATCAAATAGGCAGACTTTTCCTGACTTACAGGTAGTTATGGGATCATTTTGATGCCATTTATATATATAGTAATATACATGAGCTGCTTTCATAGAATCCAGCAAACGCATTGTGAATATCTTAATGTTGTTAACAGTATCAGCGGATGCTTTCTTCTATTGGCACGTGATCCCACTTCTATTGTATTCAAAGGTTGGTGTTTGCTCTTCTCAAAATTTAATTACTTCAATGAACTTTCAAGTCTTTCTATTTCATTATTTAAAATGTGTCTTGTGAAAGCAATCTATATTTTTAATATACAAACAAGGGTTTTGAAAATAACGCTAACTTGTGTATTTGACACAATCAAGATCCCTTCGAATTTTTGATGACATGTGATCGAGTGGCGATAAACAGGAGGCTTGAGGGGAATAGTTTGTAGTGGCGAGGGATCATATCACGAAAACTGTGAACTGACGCGCCTTCCGGCTAACATCACATCTAGTAATCTATGCTCGAAACACAAAATTGTTCATGCGATTAATACTCTGTGTGATATCAATAGGAAGATGCGCTAGGGTCTTCATTATTTTTTACTGAAAAATTTACCTACTGCATCCGAAACTAATAATCATTATTAAGTATTTTCAAGTGATGATCTAGTCAACATTTAATTTCCTCAAAGGAATGTGCAAAAACATCGTCAATTCTTTCATTATTTTCCTCTTTCTTTTGCTCTGGTCCAGAGGATCTGAATCAAAATGAAATAGACCAGAGAATGTGTTTGTTAGAGATATGAAAATTATCGACAATAAATATATAATTTGTTGTGGCAGTTTGGCTCTAAAATATTTGCAAAATATTTTCAAAACTGGTGTCAAAAATCAATGCCTTATAATGATTTAGAGTCAAATATGTTGATGGCATATTGATATGAGTAATATATGGGGAATGATACACAGTGATACAAAGTTTGATTGGATTTGGATATGAACCCCTGCACGTCAACAATTTCTTGATTTAAATCAAAAAAGTACATCCAACCCTACTCATGTGTTAAAATTTTATTCACATTACTAATGTATCACATATTTTTAAATTGTAAAGTAATTCAATTAAAAAAAGAAGTTTTACAGATGATTATCGAAGTTTTATGAGATATTTCAAAATATCGTATCGCAATGTGAAATATCGATATAGCAATATACTTAAATTAAGGAATTTTGTCATTAAATATCACAGAAGTTGTTTTTGTGGGAACATTTTAACTCAAATGAAATCAACACAATTATCATAGTTAGGTACATTCTGCATGTAAATTAAAGAAGCCATTTTTACAGCAATACGAAATCTCGGGCCAATACCCAGCCCTACATGTAAGTCACTTATGGAAGTACAGCCATAATGGTTCTGTTAAAGCATCATTCCACAAATAAACAGGCACATGTATTCTTCATAGTAATATTTTTTTCCTTTTTCCATCAAATATTTTTTTTACCTAATCAAAATAAAAGAATATTATTAATTTCTCAATTGTTTGGTAAGGATTTTTATCACTTAAAAGATGACCTAGGTCATCAGATATATTAATTACTTATTTTCATGGTGGCTTGTCCAAATCTGGCACATAACAATCTGTTAAAACCTAAAAATAGTTTTAACGCGGAATCGGTCAACATCTTGCACGACTGTAATTTATGAAGTACCCCTAATTGTTTTCCATGTTTTATTGCAATACGTAACAGATAACCTTATGTAATTATATTTTAAAAACCAGAGAATCAGATAAGTTAGGCAATTAATCTAGATGCTAAATCTAAACCTTATTTCTTTATGTAAATTTTTTTAAATGTACTTGTATTTAAATATAAAATAAATTGAAAATAATGAAAAGGTGAACTTTTGAATTTTTGGTTTATATTTGAAATAAAAGATTTCCATAATTGAAAAAAAAAATTGGAATTGCATGTAGGCTGGGTCATATATTTCCTTGTAATAAGAAATACACCTGACTTAAATACACAACATTTCTCAATCAAGTACAATTGAAGTTTATCTTTTCATGACAGCATGCGACCCCCGGTGGTACATTTTATGAGAGCGAAGAATCGAACTTTATTTGATTAGTTTGAAATGAAAGGTTTCGTCTCACTGAAATGCTTAAATTTCATTTATTTCATTCTTTAAACTGAACAGCTTGTTACAAATCAAGTAACGTTACAAATATGAAGCAAATAATATCAATTTACGAGGAGACCTGTCGAAAGCCCATTCATAAAATCCTCGTTTAATATGCAAATACGAGATTAAGGTAAACTTGTATCCAGACAAGATTTTTTCTTTATGAGTATGTAAATTTTCTCACAATACGACCCATTCTTACTTGGTATATACATATGCAATAAAGCTGACTACAGTACACGCCTTAGCGCCAATTGGGTTGGGGGAAATGATTAAATTGCAATAACTTTACTTTTTGACGATTGTTTGGATCTCCATTAAACATGAAAATATGCACCTGAAATATAATTTCAACATTTGAGAAATGTTAAAATGATACATTCCATAAGAATTTGAGGTCCTGGGAGAAAATGAACTCTTTATTAATGAATAGCCTAGAAAATTTACAGGAAAACATCAAATTTAGATTATTTTTTCCTTTCCTTTCGACGGTTTTATACCGAAGTCTCCTAAGAATTCCCATTGCTTAATATTTTATGATTTCGAATTGAATTTAATACTACGAAAAAATCTCTTTGTACAAAACTCAACGACTCAACTTGCGTGCTAAGGCCACACATGAAACAAACAAATTAGGAGATTAATAGTTAAATTGTATCATGTTCTTAAAAGTGAAATTAGTGGCCAAACACCATAATTAAGCCCGATCATGATTTATCGAAATCATGGTCTCTTTTGGGGGCACTTATGCCGATGATCACTTGTGGAGGCAAAACAGCGCTTTGTTCTGATGGGTAGAAATACTCAGATACCATCTTCAAGAAAATCTATCACCAAGAATATTTCAGAAGATGAAAAGGACCATATGACTAAAGACTTCCTTTTATTTGCCAATAACACGCTACTTTAGAAGTCCTTGATCGAACCAATTGAAAATCGGTGTCACTCACATACAAGCTACAGATAAAATAATTGAAAATATATGATGACCCTTCTGAAATAGATACAGGTATTTTACACAGCAATCAGTTGGGTCATCGGTGGGTGCACACATATTACTTTTAAACAAATAAAAGTATTCAAGCTACTGTGTTGTGTTTCAGGAACCATGACATTTGTTTAAATCGAGTATACAACCCATTGCTATTTGATTACAGGAGTTAAGAAACAATTAAGATATATCCCCTTTAGGGGCGCGGTGTTCTTCGATCTTGTTTTCAATGAACATGATTTAAGGCCGAGTTTATATTTCAAATTCATGCTTTTAACATGAAAAAAAATGTGATAAAGATGAAATATCTTCTCATCACATTTACTTTGTTATTTGGCGATTATAAACCTTTAATGAAAAAGAAAACACAGCGGAAAAACTTTATGGATGACTTGCAAGTGTTACTCTTTTTTTCACACCTGTATATTTTATAAAAGCCCAGGTGTTGAAATGCACAAATTGACATTGTTGGAGTGCATTTGAACGCCTTCATTTCCAGCTAAGTTTTGATAATGGGTCCCCAAATTGTTCGGTCTTTCTTTGTTTCTCAATTCCGCATGTAATAACTCTGTGGAATGTGCATTCACAGAATCCTATTTGTCTTCCGTTTTTTTCAATCTCCAGGGTAAAGTTGACAGTCCAAAACTATCTGCGACTTTGCTTCTCCACGTGGGTTCAATTATAACAAATTCACAGCAAAGAAATCAAAGATTTCCCCCAGTTAAGTAACACCTGGCTTTACAGATTGTTCAGATAGGTTTATTGCAATATGCTTTTAATATTTCATATTGGTATGAATAGGTTTAATGGAATACGAATTTGAAATGCGAATTTCAGTTTGATATTGTAAAGACATAAATAATTTTAAAAATCTTAAAGAGGGAGGAAGTTTCAAAATGCCTTTTAACATATTGCACACATATTTATACGAATACCGGTAATTCAATATTCGGAGAATTCTGTGAAAGGAGAAACAAAATTATAACATTTATTCAATTCAATTATAACAGAGCAACAAAACTTAACAATTACATCTTCCGCGCAGACTCTGAAGTGATTGTTCCGGCGATTTACGACTGTTCACCCTCCGCTAATTGCATCATATTACAACTTCTAATGGTAGTCTTTAAAACAAGAAAGCAGTATCTGGTAATGTCGTTGGGTGTACATTCCCTTGGCCCCCATCATTAGCTTATAACACAATAACCGAGACGTTAGGTCATTGATAAATACTTTCATTACAGGTTGGGAAGCGGCATTTAGGGTACTTGGGTGGTATATTACTATCATTATCTTTATCTGTTTTGATGGTTTGAAGGACTGTCAAAATGAATCATTTCTTCACTCTTAGACAAAATGACTTTTAGTCATCGCTTAACTATACATGTTTAAATGATCGTAACACCTGTTGCTGCCTACTTATTTAAATCAGTTAAAACGTTAATTTTACTCCACAAAAATGAATTGCCTTGAAGATTTTAACCATGATATTTTGTATTTCCATGTAAGACACAGTAATTGAAGGAAGCATTTAAAATTCCAGAGCTAAAATTGAGATACATGCTAGGGCTATGAACGGGGATCAGATGTTTCAAGTAGGTTAACTCTGATCTTGTAGTAAAATGTATTTAATTTATTTGTGTTTGAAGTTTTAGAGCTGAAGACCCCCTAGCCCCTCCCTTCTCTGCATCAATGTGTTTGGTATATTAAAAGAAGTTATCTGTTTAATATTTTATTATCTTTTCTTGATATTAAGCACTTTGAAAGTTGAGAAATTCAGTATATTTAACTACGTGTTCACATTGATTATCTGAACATTGTTAATTTTAATTAGATTTGATGTTCCTGTTTATTTTCTCTATATTCAAGTGTAAGAAGCACTGACCAAAACCATAAATAATTTGGTTATTATTCAAAACACAGTTTACTTAACTCATACATTTAAAATTTATTTTATATTAATGTAAATAATGACAAATCGCTTTTCTCCTAGTTATTTGGTCAAATTTACCTTGTTCATTTCGAAAAATAATCTACATGTAGGTTTGAATGACTACCTAATTGTGACTTTGGTCATTTAAAGTGGATCCATTGTACTGACCGGAGCATATCGAATTTGACCATCTTTTGGTCATCTTTGGCAGATGTCTGGTCGTAAAAGTTTTACAAACTGTTAATGGAATGTATAAAATTCGCCATCTTTTCTGATTGAATTCGTGAATTCCGTAAGTGACCTTTGTCAAAAGTTTTAAAATAAAAATGTCTTCAATCAGATTTCGTGCCACCCATTAGTTTGACAGTTAATGGAACCATCTCGTTACATTTTTTAGTAGTTTTTTCGCTTTTCCATTTTTGACACACAAACGTCTGGGGAAAAGGGTTCATCAAAATCTATATGTGTCTGGAATACAAAATGCACCGAAATATTGACAGTTGTCGTACGAATTTTTTCACCGTAAGATCGTAAATAATGATGACAGTAAACCAAGTAGAACCAGATTTTCGATAAAAATAAAGACCCATAGGCGAAATAGATCAATCTCGCCATTTTATGTACAATACATAATTCAGATATCAGTGAAAGTTTTCGCTCTTCTCTAAGGTGAATTGACACTTGGTATGTAGGGGCCGTTTGTCTACCAACCACAGTACCAATAAAAAAATTCAACGCAGAATGAATCAATGTATACATGTAATATATTAAAATACATGTATAAAATATTACGCTTTAAAATGTCTGTACTCATATTTATTTCTTAAGATGTGAACAAACTCTTTACATGAAACTACATGAAATGTACATTGTACATGTAAACCTCGCAATATGATTGTATACTAGTAGTATAACAGTACGTAGCTCATTAAATTGGTATTATTTTCATAACATAGTGAGTTCCAAACAATATTCTTCAATTTTTATATTTGCATCTTTAATCAAATTTTTTTCTTGACAACGTGTATATTTGTAAAGATAATGATCCCGAAAGGCCAATCAGCAGTCTTAAGAACTGTGTTCTCTATTAATTCATACCTACAACTGTGTATCACAATCTTTGACTTTTTGACCCAAGAAGTAATAGGCTTCTCTTCTGTAATTTGATTGAAAAGTCACGTGCCACTTACGTTCCCTAACGTGGTTTTTACTGTAGTTTTACTGCAGTTTCTGACAAATAAAACAATTTTTTTTTCAGTTTCATGATTACTTAATCTATTAGAGCATGTTTGATTTTTTTTCAGTTTCACCTATAATCTAAAAGCATGTTTGAGACAAGTTGGAAATGTTAGTCTATTTGTTTTGTCCACAAAACTGTTTCGAGGACATCCTAACTTTGATCGTGAACTATGACCCATTGATCTTTAAATAATAAGAAACATATAATGCTTCGTCTTACTTTACAGCAAATTTGATACTAAGAAGTGAAAACATTATGAAGGACATACGTTAGAATACAAACACTCAGGACCACATGGCTTTCTTTTAAATTGATATAAAGATACACCATACATCTTTTTTTTTTAAAAGAAGGGCGTTCATTCGATATAGATGGCATAGCCAGCATGCAGTATTATTAACTATGTTTTAAAAACTGTTACTTTAATGTGTTACTAGTATATTGTACATGTATGTTTTAAATTGCCTGTAATTTCTTGCTTTCTTTTTGAGGGAAAATACACATCTAGCAATATATTAAAGATATTTTTTCAACGGTACATCTACTTTCAAACTTATAGATAGTTCAAATTACATTGATTGATACTGTGAAATATGAATATGCATACTAGGGAAGGAAAGGGTGTTATAAAATTTTTTATATAATTATGAATCATGATCAAATATGGAGCTTGAAAAGACATGGATGGATTTTGTAACTCGGATATCATATATAAACAATTTTAAGACAGCATATAATTATATCTTTTTTGTTTTTTCAGGCAATCGAGAGACTGCTTTCATATATGCAATCACTAGTGCTGCAGTTACCCATTCTATTGCCCGTGCTTGCGCGGAAGGGAGCATATACACGTGTTCATGTGACTATAACCTCAATCAACAAAGTGGAAAAGACTGGGAGTGGGGAGGGTGTAGTGATAATGCCAAATTTGGTCATCGGTTTTCTCGGAAATTTGTGGACGTTTTAGAAAAAGGCCGAGATTTCCGATACATGATGAATTTGCATAACAACGAAGCAGGTCGAGTGGTGAGCTGACAAGTTTTGCTTTCTTTAGCATGGACCATAGATGTGGCATTTCATTTAAAAATATCATTTAAAATAAAAAAAACACTTTTAAGTTATCATGAATTTCATAGACATATGCTTTCAGAAAATTCCAGCAGTATAGTCACACGAGAGAACGATTTTGAATTCTTGTACAGCAATCCTTGACATTTACTTAGCTTCACTTGGTCATAAACCAAAAGAGCGTATTGCGATAGTACTTGGCAACTATTGTCCATTTGATCAGCTGTACTCTTTCTATAATTTTTTTTCAGAAACATACTCCTCCTTCCTTGCATGTTGATCCGATTTCAAAAAAAAACAAAACAAAAAAAAAACACACACACAAGAAGACTTTATAATATAAAAAAAATTAAACACAAGACTTTATAATATACATTATTATACTTCTGTTAAAATATGTCCTATATAAAGTTCAGAAGGTAAAATAACTATCTTTTAGAGTTCACGCATAGCAAAGCTATACCCCGGGGTATAATTTTTGCTATCCACCTTCGGAAAAGTTTCATGCAATATTTGCCGCCAGTATTGATTTCCAGCGATAAATATAAATATCATAATGACTTTCATTATGACGTCATAGGTTTTGCAGTATTTTCTTACTCCGAAAAAGAAATTTCAAAAATTATAATACATCAACAACTTATCCACTGTTTGTGAGTGGGATAAATTCAAACCCTTCTACACGGGCAAGTACGGGTTTTCTAAGTCACAAACAGTGGAAATTTTATGTACGATGGTTTACTATTTCAACGATACATGTAGGTATTGCTATTGTCACTCAAAATATCATTTTAATGATAGGTATTGTCATAGTTTAATACTCACATCCTTTTTCTGAAATTCATTCTACACGTACTCCTAAGTAAATTTTATGCCGGACTTTCATGAAACTTAGTACACATATAGAGTACAGCGGTAATTAAGTTATAACGAAGGAAAATATCTGTATCTTCCAAAACATTGCCCTTTGTACTAAATTGGACCCATTTCAATAAATCTTGGCAAACAATTAGACTACTACAAAGCAGTAAATTTTGTTAAGATGAATTAGAAAATTTCACCATAAATGATGAAAATATAAATTGCAGGAAGTAGAAAAACATTATTCCTCCTAAAGTTAAACTAGAAATACAATGAGATACAAAATGCTGTAAATTTTTAACTAAAAAGTACCTCAAGTCAAAATACGAATGTCCAAATCCATTTTAATGATCTAGTTTATAAATCATGAAACGTTACCTCTGTTTTAAAGCTAATTTTTTTTCTATGTTCATCTTTTTTTCTCTTATATATCAAGATAAGAAATAATTTAATTCATAAATTATTTAAACGGGAATATAGATAATTGCTTTACTTGGTTTTGTGAGGTCATGATTGCAAGAAAATGTCATACATCTCCATGTATTTCATTTGAATGGTTAGAAAATTTTAAGAAACGTTTTTTCTCTCTCTCAATAACAACAGGTGTCTAAACTTTATAAAAGAAATTTATATTGATTTACAACTTAAAGAGTTTTTAAACATTTCCTAAATTAACACCTGCATGTTAAGGGAGAAAAGAAAATGGCAAAAAAGCAATGCAACAACTAATCTATGGTATAGATTTTAATTTACTCTTTAGAAATATTTGTAATAAAAGGGAATTAAATGTTAACATATACACATCCACTGACTATTAAGCTAAATAAACATTAAAAATACATGTAATTTTCGTGAAATTGATAGAATTTTTTTTCTCAATAAAATGGACACGGTTTTATGCACTAAACACGAGAGAAAATTGATATGTATCGAATTTTCGCAAAATATTCATTAATTGAACGTTTTTATTGCCTGACAATGCGTTCGGAGGTATTATTCCTATTGTTATACCGTAACTGGCAGATCACCCGCTAGTTTATCGTAACATGGCCTACCCTTAATTATACATCTCTGTCAGCGGCCTAGGAATTTGATACCCCATTTAAAAAGGGGATAACATAGGTGCTGAAGATGTAAATAACATGTTTCTGTTCAGCTGTTAAATATCACGCGAGGTTCATCTTCGGAAGATGGTTTAATTTTTTATACTAAATGCCACACAAAGTTTAGTTTGTAGACCCTCTCCCCCCTTATGAGAAGTTCTTTTTGAGAAAAGGACTAATCAGATTTTAATATGACATTTTAATATTCTTTAATCAATTTTTTGAATTAAAAAAAAATGTAGACCCTGTCATAAATTACATGAAGAATTATATAAATATTTAAATTCAATTTCTATCAACGAACAATCCCCTGTTTTCTCCATTGATAAATGAATATTTCCCATATCAAGCCAAATTGCGGACCAATCATTTAATATCGAGTGAGAGGAATATTTTTAAGATAATTAAATTTGATTACTACCCAGGAAATAAAATACATTTTAACCTTTTCACCCACGAAAAAGATTATTTCTAACTGAAATAGATCCGATTTTAATCTTTCAGCGGTTATCAAAAATATCAAGTCTTAAGAACGAGCTTTTACAAATCATGCTTTCAAACTTTCAAATTTAAGCTTGGAAGGAGATAAATTTAAAAATAGATTTGAAATGTCATCTAACTAATAGCTATCTTTATCATCAGGTCCTCTTCAACAGACAGTTAAATCGTATTGACGATGTTTGTGAACGAAAATCCATTATCTTGATAGGGGTAGTCGTAAGGTATATTGTGAAAATGATATTTAAACAGGCGTTTGAACAAATTAAATTATTTAAAGGAATTTTTGCTTTTATGGATAGGTTGAAGTATAAAGAGGCATTTTACTGTACCAGATATGCATTTAATGATAGAAAACATGGTCTTAAAAGTTAGTTTAACTGGGGCTTAGTCACTCATCCACTATTTGGGGGAATTTGTAAAGAATTTCTCACGTAAATGTGGAAAAAGTAATGAAATTTAGACAGCTTAATTTAAACTGATAAATGACAAGAGGGAATATTTTATGAGCGATTCGTAGATACCCAGGTGGGATTTTATGGGAATGGATAAGATGGCAGTTCGTTATTTCTGTAAAATAACGATTTATCGATGTGCAACGCCTGACTTCCCATTTATATCTTATTTACCAATTTGTAAATATGGCGCAGAAGTAATTATATTTAAATGATGGACTCTTGAGCTGATAAACATCGCATACTATTAACCTTACTTGTCCCCTATAAACCTTAAATTGAAATATTTTAATTTAAAAATTTAAATAATGAAAACATATGATTTATGGAAATTCTATTGTCGTGTGTCATTTGCGAAGTAAATTCTTTATTCCAAACAATTTTTTAGGACCGATTTTTTTTTATTTGAATATATTTTATTGCAAAAATATACTATGGGATTGGATTCTAAACTCTCCCTACATGAAATATAAAAAAAATGAATTAGACGTGTCTATTAATTAGTATTTTATTATGAAAATTCGGTTTATATGATTGGATTGGACATCGGGCATGGCTTATGCTTATAGTACTCTCCAAACGTGTGGAACAGTTTGTACAGAATAAATTAGCTCACAACTTAGAAATCTATATATACTGCTACAATATTGTCTATAAACATTATAAATATAAGACCAATCAACTAATGTATCGATTTGATTGTTCTTAATTGTAAAGATCAATTTGAAAATTTGTATTGAGATAAAGAATATAAAATACATGTATTTTTCATTTCTTTAAAATCATAATATTTTACTGTTGAGGATACACTCGAGTTTTTGTAAAAATATTTCCCAATATTACCATAAAAATTTTCTTGCTATATTGAGAAATATAATTTACATTTATGCATACAGTTGAAATATTGATTTCTGCAGAATAAAATGTGCAGCATTTTCCACATATCAGAATGATTAAGAGAGTGCTCTACTTGGTTCTACTACTAAAATACCAATGTTCCCCCTACAAAAAAAAAAATACTAGGAAGGTTCAGTCTTTCAGTCACACAAAAAAATCTCCCCAAACTGAAGTGAAAGCCCTATAAATAAAAGGCATGGATTTTCTACTCACAAAGTTTTTTCTGTCTTTGTAGCATGTTTCTAAAGAGTTGAAGAGGGAGTGCAAATGTCACGGTATGTCCGGAAGTTGTACAATAAAAACCTGTTGGATGCGACTTCCTTCTTTCCGAGATGTTGGGAACAGACTAAAAGACAGATTTGATGGAGCCTCGCAGGTTATTTCAGGTAATATCTATTGTCCACATTAGCCGATTTGAACATTAATCATACATGCACTGCTATGTCTTACAAATTGATGTACGGGATTGTTATGCATTTACAATTCACCAAATAAAACATATAAATCAAAAATGTATAAAGATGAAGAAAAGTTGAGTACTAAAAAAAGCTTTTGAAGGAAAAGAAGTTTTTTTTAACAATCTTCAACAGTACTTAATTATAACAAAGACTGAGAAACAATATTTATACGATATTTATTATCTAAATTTTGCCAGGAAATGATGGAAGCCGCATTTTAGGTTCGTATTGCATGGGTGTTACCATGGTTGTTCTGTGTAATTGTCAACTCTGTGTGCATAGCTTGCTAGTATGTGGGAAATCTACATATATGTTATATATTTGTGTTAAGATTGGAATCAGAACATTAATCATATAGCTTCTCCATATCATTGATTATATGATATTTTAAAAACTACTTATAATTGACTCCTGGATTTGGCTATATTGTGACTTAAACATACATGTACTTCTATATAAATACTTTATGACAAGTCTTTAATTTGTATATGTGATAGGTGTTTTTTAAGTGCTGAGATTTAACAAGAAATATGCTTAATTAAAAATCACATAAAATCTGTAAAATTCAAAATAAAATTGTACAAAATACCCCTGCAGTTGTTAATGCTACACTGTTACGTCTTGGCACAATATATTCATATATTTCATACAAAATGTGCACGTACAGTTTGTTATTATTCATGTAAGTCTTTCTATGTATTCAGATTCTGTTCTGCATGCTTAATTAATAACATGTATTAAAGGCTGTGTCGCTTTCACTCCCAAACAAACTTTGTAATCTCTCTTTATATGTAACATTTGATCTTTCTTCTGAATCGGTTCTCTGCTAAGCAAAAAGGAAATGTCTTTCAAATAACTATGATGTTCAGAATCTGAAAAAAATATTTAAAGTTAACAAACGCTTTTTTTTTTACATTTGAAATTATGATAGTTCATAAGCTCACTAATACCTCGGCGTACAAATTCTTTATTGCATACATGAAAGAATGAATACAAATTTTGTTTGCCGAGTGAAAACAAAGTTTAATAATCAAAAGTAACATTTGACTTGAAATATTTTTTTCTCTTTTCCAGGAAACAGACCAAATGGTGGTAGAAAAAGGAAAAGGTACAAGTCGTTCCATTTTGCTCCAGTTAATCCAAATCACAAGAAGCCTGGAAGACGAGATCTCGTCTACTTCGAATCCTCTCCTACATACTGTGAGAAAGATCCTTCTATAGACTTTCCTGGAACATATGGTCGCGAGTGTAACGCGTCATCCATAGGGATTGACGGATGTGACCTCCTGTGTTGTGGAAGAGGGTATATTTCAAAAACTTACACGGTTCGTGAGAGGTGTAGTTGTATATTTCGTTGGTGTTGTGACGTAGAGTGTGAAATTTGCACTCGGACTAAAGTGCAACACACATGCAAATAGTATGTACGTTCAATATTTATCGACTTACCTGGAATAACATTGATATATGTGAACAGTTCAGCAGAACATTGCTTCTTTGAAATATGAGAATCTAATGAATTGTGCTTATGTTTTTTATGATTAGTATATACATGTATAAATATTGACTTGAAGTACAGTACTGTACTTTCATTGATCCTTTTTTATTTATGACGTCATTAAATGACCATATAGGTGCTATATTTCATCATTTCTAATTTAAAGCAGTGTTTTGCATATACCATATTAAAAACACGAAAAAATACATGTATTTACATACCTTTTATCTTTTGTAAAATTGTTTATTAGTATTAGTTGTGTTTTCTGACTTCGTGGTTGGCCATTAAGTTAAATACATGTATATGCCTATTTCTTTATTGCCAGTATTGTATATGTTACATATATTTGGACAGTTAACTTCTGAATTCTACATTTTTATCATTTAAAACTCATTTCATTCTGTTTATTATTGCAAAGTTTCATAAAAAAGAATGCTTTGTGGACGATATATGACTGTACAATGTTTTATACATCATTTTTTAGACATTAAACTTCATTTTTTTGTAAAAAAAAAATCTCTAAATTTCTGTTCTAATAAACTTTAAAAATGTTGCTGTTTTTTTTTTATTTCAAAAGGTCTCGTATTAAATTCAGTGTCTTCCGTATACTGCATTGTAAACAAGAAACGCTACAATGTCTTAATATTTAAATCAATTATGTTATCTCCAATTACTTACCAAGAAGAAAGAAAAAAATACACGAAAAAATGTAATAAAAAAAAAAATAATAATAATAAGATAAAATAAATTTTATTAAATACCATAAAAATAATAAAACCCTAAACGCCTAGAATGAAATCTTACATAATGATGAGTACCGCGAGCTGTTACATGTACAACACCTTGAAGAAGAGAAAATTCGAACTACTACACAAAATAGGAGCAGAGCAAACACGGACCTCCAAAATGTTAAGTGGGATTAGGTGCCATGGAGGAGTGAACATTCCGTGCCGACCGGTTACTTTTTTCACCTTAAAGATTTTGAACAAATTCTGCTTCATACGAATACAAAACAAGCCTGCTAATTAATAACGGAGCGCAATTGTTACCCATAGGAATTCCAATAGATTGTTCGAAGACCTGATCTAAAAAAACGTTAGATATTATCAATGAAACACCAGAGCATCTTTTTGATAACTACTCCAGAGTACTTGTATGTACAATCAAATTATTCTTAACAAAGTAATTTTGCAAATTACCAATGACAAGGTAAGTAAATTTACGAGTTCCATTTTCATTGAAAAAAAAAAGTTGTCAATGATATCAATAAGCCCGGACTTTAATTATATCGTGGGGGAGTGGTTGTGTATAAAGTTAAAAAGTCGTAATTTTTAAGCTGTTGATTTTGATAAAATTCTAAGATTTTAAATGTTCCAAAGGTTCCTTGGAATTTTTCAGTATCCACATCTGATTTGCAGCACTTCAAGAATAAACTGTTGCACAGTACTCTTGGATTTCTCCTTCAGTACTGTTTATATCTTAGTGACAAGGAAAGAAAGAGGCTTGGTAGAACACTACAGGACCCCGATATGTGTCTTTGTTTGTAAGGATTTTTATAAAGTTTCGGAATTCAATATACTAGTAGATATGATTATTCAAATTCATTTTGGTTGTTGGAAATATTAAAAATCTACGTCAGGAAATCCAACAAAAATACTCCCAGTTTATTTTCTAAGTAAGACATTCTTCAAATCGCATTTCAGTGAGTTCGATGAACCCTACCTCCACTTGATTCCTTAACTTAAAAAAATCCTTACAAACAAATATACATTGCTGTGTCCAGCAAATGCTTTATCAAGCTTCTTACAAAAAACTGTCATATAAGAGAAACTTCAGACTTACTATGCTACAACATAGTATAGATGAAGTCTAATCAGATGTGGATCCTCAAAAAACTCTAAGCAATACTTAAACTTTAAAATCGCCATAGTCTATACATGTAACAACACTTTCATACAACAATTCCTAGCGATACTCTTTTGATATCATAGAAAACTGCTTCATCAGTAAAAATTAAGTCTTAAAGTTTTACATCCTGTAATTGGTCAACAGCAAAATTAATATTTCGTTAAAAATCCTTTTGCCGTACACACAAGTACTCTGAAGCTGATATTGAAGGGATTCTGGAGTTCTTCGTTCACAACATTTATGTAGTCTCCGACTACTAGTAATCCTCGAAAACCAAGTTTTCCAACAAACTGTTTGAATTCCGTTTTTTTTTTCTTATTCCTTTGAAGCTGAATTTATAAATGGAATTCTACACGAGAAGAAAAAAAAACCCCACTTGCATCAATTTGGATTTTAATTCGACATTCAGATACATCGATGATATTTGATCGATTCACAATAGTTATTTACATTCAAATTTCGCCACGAAATATCACAGTGAACTTCAAATTAATGCAAGACACCACAGAGTCTGCAACACCTGTTTTACATATATACGTATTTGGATGTTTGACTGATTAAAGATGATAAGCGCCAACTAAGATCTAAATTGTATGGGAAATGAAATTACTATTTTGTAAAAAAAAAGTTCGTTACTTATCATATGTAGTTTTATTCCACTATCATCTGAGTATGGGGTTTTTGTCTCCCTACGTATTCGCAACACAAGAGCTTGAGCGGTGTACCATCATTTTTAGAAGCGAGACATGCTACTCATTGATAATCTAATGTTCCAGGGATTTCAACAACCTCGTTTTTAGTAGGCATTTCTAATTAAATTCTACAATCGTTAAAAGGATCTTATTAGCAAATATGATGAAATATATGGAGATAACAACAGTATTCAAGCTCAAAAGTCCAGCAAACAATATAAAATAGGAGAAGAGCAAACACGAACCTCCGAAACATCAGAGGTGGGATCAGGTGCCATGGAGGAATCCCCTGCCGACCGGTCACACCCGCCGTGTGCTCCTTGTCATAAACGGGAAAAAACGGAAAGGCCGTCGTCAATTCACTGTGTAAATAATGGACTAATAATTAGTATGAAAAACGCCAGTCAGCATTTAACTCAATGATAAATTGTATTTGCTGACAAGGTCATTATATCTATCGACCATAGAACATACGAAATGATGACTTTAATCGAAACTGCTTATATTCTAGTTTCATCAATTTGTTTGTCAATCTTTTAACTCAAGCTCCCCGGGATATATCGTATCGACATAAGAATAGAAATATGACATATGATTTTTTTTTTAATTTCTTCTTTATAAAGAAAACTGGGAACTATGGGTATAAATTGGATTATCACTTGTAGACTTCTTATATACAATTTATATATAATGAGCTTTGCAAACGGATACAATGCTGTTGTCTGTTACCTGCTTTGTTAGTAGGGACCAGTACGTACTAATCATGTAATCTATGTAATTCTTTTTTCACTAGTGAATAATTTTGAACAAAAAGTGTATACTTAAATTTTTTGGGAAAAATATTCGCTCTTATAGATTTCATAAAGGAAATACAACTAATATTCATGTTTTTGACGTCACGGCCGGTCTATACCTTAAGAATAAAGAGGCGAATCTAAGCTGATAATATTAGAATCTTCAACTGCCCTAACCCGAACGGTTGGACTCTCAACATATTTATCAAGAAGTCGGTGATTTACATGGTTTTGTATATATAATTAAAAGAATTTCTTGGACAGACACGAATCAAAGTCATTGGACTGTATATGCTATTGACCAGAGTGTCATGAGTATTTTGGATTAACACACAAAGATACAGCACAACAGCTCATAAAAAATAAGAAAAATCACATGTACGTTCTATTTGAGGAATTTAAGTTTAATACAGGACCCACTGGCATAAGCATAGTGTTAAGTTAATAAGCATACTGTTAAGTTAGAGTTATCTAACATTGCTCATTTGACGACCCAGAAAATTATTCCATTACCTTGAAATGCTGAGACAGAGAAACCATTCTTACATCATAAGAGAAAGAGAGAGAGTTATTTACATACCGTATTACTTGTATTCCTACACAGCTCTTGATAAGGCAATTTTAAAACATGAATTTGAATATTTCAATGTGAAATGAATCTTATATTTTAATTTTATAATATTATTTCTCGTCTCTGAAAAATTATGTTCATCATGCTGATTTTTGATTTAAGTCTATGATTACATAAAATGGTTTGGTGGACTAAATGTGTTATGAATTTTTTTCTAATTACATGTATGCTTAATTCTACAGACACTTTCAAATTTGTAGTTAAGTCTTGACCAGACAATATAATTTTGATTTCTATTCTTTTTTCATTTTCTTTTTATTTTTCTCCCATTTCATTTTCTGATTTTGTATATTATATATACTTATACCTCTGACCTGATTATATATATGCTGTAAATATTTCTCTTTGTCCTCATGTACCATGTATTCAAAATGGTGTTGAGTGAATAAATGAACTTGAAGATCTTTCTAAAGGCTATACATAAAGACGATTAAATTATAATGTTCGTAATTTCATTTATTGTAAAAATTGTTGAGGATATGTGGTACATGTTGTGTATATCTATTTATATGTTTTTCTTTCAAATTGGACCCTTTTAAGTCCAGTTGAGCCTCAAGGCTCTATTATCTTCGTTAAGTTTGATATTATTTTAAAAATTTTTCGAATTAATTATAGTAAACGTTTATTTTATCACACCAAAAAAAGTCAATTTCAAAAAAGCAACATCACATCCTGTACATGCATTAATTTGAAAGTGTTTATTTATAGATAGTTAACATACCACCAGTATTAATTTTATAGATAATTTACATAGCATCAGTATGGATTTTTTGACATCCATGAATATTTTGTACACTTATGATAATTAGATATGAATTTTCTGTGAATTAGTAAAATTACAGAATTAATTTTTTCGAAATAATATTCTGAAATCTGCTAACGAAATTATTCTAATATGAATACAAAAAAAAAATCGTTTTTTTTTTTCAGTTGTATTATTCTACGTCTCTATTGTAAGTAAAACCGAATCCCTTCCAGCATAAGAAGACCTACAAATAAAAATCCCAAAAAGGATTATATAACACATAATAATGCCTCCGATTTCCAAACTTAATTAGCTATTGATTTTATATAAAAATCTCTGATACCAGCTGTATCCCTTCCGTAATATTATTTACTTCAAATAGTCTTTTGTTGGCTGGCATCTTTTCCATTAATCGCACTGCCTTGTATCATTGAGTTAGATTTGACGAGGTTAATCGTTCCGTGCCAGACAGTTATTTGTATTATGCATGC